ATAACTTTTTTAAAAAAAATCATCGTCTTAATAATTTATTGCAGACCTTTCTCTTCACGCCTTCCTCCATCAGATTCCTAACTTGTCACCATCGACCCACTGATCTGAAGAACCGAGTCAATTTTATTTATTTTTTTTAAAATCTACATCATTTTTCACTTGCCCATGTTTGTAATTTCAATTTTAGTCAGATATTGACAAATCTTGTCTTAAATTAAGGAATACTCAAAGGATTCTGTCTAGCTTTAAAATTGAAATCTTAGCCCTGTAACAACTTTAACGTGATTTTTGTTTCTTTTCATATTCAACTTCTGTTTGATACATCCATGGATGAAATAATTTACCAAACTTTCGGCTGGGGAAGTTTTTGTAGTGTCCTGCAAATAAAATGTTAGATCATTTTTGAAAATCGATTACCTATTATAGCTATTAATTGTAGAGCTTCAACAGGCTGCTATGCACAGTTAAGAAAGTTTTCTTAAAGAAAGACTGCTACTGCTAAAAACAGATCAAATTCATACCAATCTCTCAGTCGCATGGCGTCAGCGACCTGCTCCTAACATATTATTTTTATGCATTACAAAGGCAGGGGAGGTGACTACGACCAAGCTTCTAAATATAGTATTGGCATGTCGCTCGCTGGGTAAACTTTTCTATTTGCGGCAATGGATTTTAAAAAAAAAAGCATTTAATGTCAAAAATATGTTTGATTAAAATAAGAGAAAGCGATAATTGATATGAATTACCCGTTCATATTTTATTTATAGCCTAAAGTTATCTCCGTCATAGGCCTAGGTTATCGTGAGCACAATATATAGCACAAAAATATGACATTTGTTTTACAAACTCAACCCTTTAGGGGCCGTTCATAAAGTGCGTCACGCTATTTTTGACCATTTTAACAGCCCGCCCTCCCCCCCGTCACAAACTGTCAAAAATCTTGGACCCCCCCCCCTCTAAAGTACGTCACACTTTCGAAAGAATTTTTTTTTTAAATTAACACCTAATTAAAATTTAATCTAAAAAACACTTCACTATTAACTGTATTAAAATATAAAATTTCCAATTAAAAGAACTATCACATTATTAAAATTAATTAAATAGTAGAATAGTTAATTATCAACAGTTGTCACAGTTATTCATTGAAGCAGTAACTCAATCTAGATTGAATTTGGAAACAAAAATTGCAAAAATTAGACTAGACAATTATATAATACACATCATTTATCTGCTGCTTTTTCATTTACAAAAGGTGAGGTCAAGTTTTATTAATTTCCGATTATGCAATCTTTTTACACAGGATAAGAAGTAAATTAGCGAAACTTGACCGCACTCAGTGATTAAATAATAAAAAGGAAACAAAACAATTTGACTAAAAAAAGACTAGTTTGACAAATTATGTGAAAAACTCTTGTGCTAAATTGAATCTGTTTATTATGGGCCTGCGAATTGTGTTTAATTAAAAAAATATTCACTAGACATCAACCATCCATGGTGAAGTGAAATGTCATCCATAGTTACGACTGGCATCAATCTTTCACCATCATCGTTTCCTGGAAGGATAATTGCAGACAATCAACTTCATCCTCATATAGCCACTCAACATCCTCTGAATGTGCATTTTCTCTTCTGACAATAATTACCATGAGTTCTCTTTGCCTTTAAGCGGCGACTCAAAGGTCTGATGCGTTTTATCTGAGTCGATTCTGGAACAGTTTGGGTTGGCACATTCTCCCGAGCCCGAGCTCTGTGTTGTCCTGCATGTTTCTTCGACATTGTTTGTGAGGCAATTTATAAGTGACATACTTTGCAAATTCGATCAAGTAAGCTGGTCTGCAAAGATGGACAATAAAGATCAAATAGTTGTACTTTGAAAACTCCTGTTGATCTCGGCAAGGCTATACATAACGTATTTCATGCAATTTTGACATAAAACTAATTCAAATGTTTCATAAAATTTTTGAAAATTATTTTTAAAGCTATTAAACTCTACCAAAAAAAAATAAATTAGAAATAAAATTTAAAAAATATAAATATATTCATATGTATGAAAGTGAAATCCTCTCTCGGAGTACATCAGTCACAACAGATGGTTGAACGTCCCACACGACCTTACAACACCCCAACCCTTCCCCTCCGTGTAGTAAAATGTCTTAGACCCCCCCACCCCGGAGTGTGACGCACTTTATGGACGGACCCAAATTGTACAAATTATTGTAAGCCAAACATTCACTTCAGTTTGTACTAATCCAGGCTAATTTAGTACATTTGAAATTTGGCAAAATTTAAAATTATTAAAGAAAAATAATTTTTAAAAAATAATTTTTACGTAACATGGCTCTTGACCACACCATATAACACAATAGTAAAAAAAAAAAAATGATAAACCACCCTCACCCCCTTCGGGATGTATAATATGTGCACGCAAGAAGGCATTTTGTATGTTTAACCTAATACAGTATGCACACGAACTAATAGTTCAGAAACTGCTGCCTATCTAGTGTTGAAGGCGCGCGCACGTTTGCCAACGTTCTTTTATTCCGAGTATAGTTCCCTTTATCTCAGCATTGATTTGCGATGTGTCTATACGCTCAACATATGAACATGGTAGTGCATAGAGAGAGTGAAACTTGTAGGAACATGTTAAACAATTGGTTTTATTTGATGAACCAGTGGCGTAAGAAGTGGTGGGCGTGTAGAATGTTCGCCTCGAGGGAGGTGGGGCACTTTTCCCTTAATGTTGAATGGCGGCGTTTTCGACCAATTGCTGAGGGTCATTTTGTATTTCAAGATGGAAGTTCTGACGGTGCTGCTATGGAAAGGGGGGGAGGGGGGGGGGAAGTTTCCATCATCAGAACTGTTTTGCTCATCAGAGAGCTCTGATTGAATGCTGTAATCACCTAAACAGCTTTCTCCATTGTGGAGAATTAATTCAGCCGGAGAGATTCGGTGTATAAGAAATGGATACAACCTTTCAATCTTCATGACGTGCCAAGATCAAAGTCGGCCAGCCAGCATTTTCATTTGCTTTGATTCGCTGCGCCTATTATTTTGAATTACGGGCATACGGAATTTTAGAAAAACAAAAAAAAAACAACAAAAAAACAATTCCTTTCTTCTTTTATAGGCTTATCCAGCATATATTTACACTATTTTTGTCCTTGTTAGGTTTGTTGATGTCACGGTGTGAATACTTTGAGATTATGGTTAGATGGAAATGGTAATAGATGACATGACCTACCTACGCCAGATAGGTTAACTGGTGATAAAAGAATTACTAACCAGATCCAGAAATCAAGGATGTGTTTGAAAGCAATGGGGTCATAGGACTACATGAAACGTCGTCAGATCTGTCATTAATAAAAGACATTTCTTTTCTAGGTGTTCGTGTTTATCTTTCACTTGCGAGCATTTGCTGTTCAATGAAAGGGGAAGTTGTGTGATAGACCTTTACAAGTTTTCACTTACAGAGTGCTCCTATTGTCTTAATTTAGTGCTTGGTCAAAGCCCCCCCCCCTTTTTTTTCCCCCCAACACACGCACTTTCCACCTACCACCAAAAAATAAAAATTCCTTATGAGATGAAACCTGGATGTAATGATGAGACACAACCAGACCTAGTTATGAGACACAACTGACCTAGTTATGAGACACAACCTGGCCTAGTTATGAGACAACCTGGCCTAGTTATGAGACACAGCCTGGCACAGTTATGAGACACATCCTGGAACAGTTATGAGACACAACCTGGCACAGTTATGAGACACAACCTGGCCCAGTTATGAGACAAAACCTGACCTAGTTATGAGACACAACCTGGCCCAGAGATGAGACACAACCTGACCTAGTTGTGAGACACAACCTGGCCTAGTTATGAGACACAACCTGGCCAAGTTATGAGACACAATCTGGCCTAGTTATGAGACACAATCTGGCCTAGTTATGAGACACAGCATGGCACAGTTATGAGACACATCCTGGAACAGTTATGAGACACAACCTGACACAGTTGTGAGACACAACCTGGCCCAGTTATGAGACACAACCTGACCTAGTTATGAGACACAACCTGGCCTAGTTATGAGACACAACCTGGCAGTTATGAGACACAACCTCGCCTAGTTATGAGACACAACCTCGCCTAGTTATGAGACACAACCAGACCTAGTAAAGAGACACGACCAGGCCTAGTTATAATATAAAACCTGGCCCATTTATGTGATACAGACTGTCTCAGTAATAAGATACAGTCAAGCCCAGTTATGAGAGGAAACCTGACGAAGGTATGCAGTATAAGTGTAGATAGTAAACATTAAATAAGCACAGTTAAGAACACACAACAATTGCATGTTGGTAACACAAGGAAGAAAGGGAACTGCCTCAATGAAAAACTGAATCTTTTAATACATTTTCACAGAATATAGAATATAAAATATTTGTGCAAACTTTGCAACAATCGTTTCATACATTTATCACAACTGGGGGAAGGGGCATTGTCACATGTGTTACACTATTCATGGCACAATATGATGCAATGATGTAAATCCTTCATACACATTTTTTAGATACATTAAGTATGAGACAAACATAACAGTAATAAATAGGAGTGTGCCAGAATACATAATTAAGAATGCAAATAAAATTTACTAGATCACACAAAAAAAAAAAAAAAAAAAAAAAAAAAAAAAAAAAAAAAGAAAAAAAAAAAAAAAAAAAAAAAAAAAAAAAAAGGGAAAAAAAAAAAAAAAAAAAAAAAAAAAAAAAAAAAAAAAAAAAAAAAAAAAAAAAAAAAAAAAAAAAAAAAAAAAAAAAAAAAAATCATTGAGGTGTAATTAATTAAAGACTTTAAATAACTGAATTTTCATTTGAGTTTCATGGAGGCAATAAGTCATTTGCAGTGTTTTCAATTTTTCTTGGTTAATAAAAAATATATTAAAATTATTTAAGTGGGGAAAAAAAAAATTAAATTATTTGACTAGAAAAAAATATTTCAATCATTTTGGTCGGAAAAAAAAAACTGTTCATTATTTCAGCTTAAAAAAAAAGTATTTAAGTACATTTAAAAAACAAATTATTTAAGTGGTTGTTTTTTTTTTTAAATTTACTTTAGTGGGAAAAAAATGTTTCTTTAAAAAGAATGCTCTGCTTATTCAAGCACAAACCATGAAATGAATTTTATTTGCCCTACCTCATTTTCTGTTTCGGCTTAATCCTGAAGTGTCAAAGTGTCCTCTTTTTATAGCCATTTTCATTGTTTCTATAGAATAGTAGTTACTATCCTAGTGTCTCATTTTTATTTTACTTAGTTTACATGTTTTAATAATTGTAAAGCGCTTAGAGCTTTATGATAAGCGCTATATAAAAATGCCTAAATAAATAAATAAATAAATAAATTAAAAGACCAGGATACATTCAAATTGAGTCTTTTTGTACAATTTTTAAAGTATTAATGTCACTAAGTAAGCAGGGAGTAAAATATATAGTTTATGATCAGCAAGTTCTGCATGCTTGATTTCTCATAATTATGACATTGAATTGGAATAGACTTAAGAGATTGCTCAGATATAAAATGAATATTTTAATTAAGTTGATAAGAATTATATTTTATTTACAGCATCTTGAATTTGTAAAAAAAAACAAACAAAAACCCATCCTACATTTTTAACAAATTAAATTTATAAGAAAAAAAATTGTTTCATCTTTACTTCTGATAATTATGAACTATTAATTGATTATAAAAATTTATAAAATTTAGTTCCATTTATTTTCCCCCAAACTATATTTCCCAATGGACCCGTGGTAAGCCAATGTTGTAAATATATATTAAGACCCTTTGACAGATTTAATCATGGCCTCCAGGGCATTCCACTGGTCATCTGTTACTTGCTTAAGTTCATTAAACAGGCCCGCAGTGCAAGGGTACTCTCCTCCATTGAGCCGGATGACCTGTATAAACAAGGGGTGTTCTTTCATCAAGGCAAAGTAGATAGATGCCAAAAAGCAGTGGCCAAGCAATTACAAACATCAACACACGTAGACTGCATTTATTTGCAAAACATTTAATTTATTCTCTCAAGTTAAGAAAATGTCCTCTTGATGTCTAGAAAAATGACTATACAAATGTCTAAGGAAATTTAAAATTCAGTTATTTGTGTTAATAATCTGTTCTGGAGATGGCTTTCTGATATAAAATAAGGCTGAGACTATTCGCACCCGGGTATCAGAAATGAGAGGTTGGGATTAAAAACTATTTAAAATATTATTGTTGGGTTTGTAACTTGTAAGACAAATTGAGGTATCAAATGAAAGATAATTGAAAGGACTATATGTTTGTAAACTTACTTCTTCAGTTTAAATGAAAAAAAAATACCCCAAATGACATCCACATGGGATTTAGTCTAAAGGTATCTGGGTCCGAATAGCCACTTCGATACAATAATGCATTCAAAGGCTTTTCAAAAATGTTTAAAAAGTGTTTATATCTTACCTGTCCATTGACCCAAGAGGAGTAATCACTTAATAAATAAGTTGCCAGATTGGTAAATTCTCCAACCTCACCAATACGACCAGCTGGAACTTTTTCAACAAATTTATCCATAAACTGTCCAGTAGGATCAAGCCGACTGAAAGCTCCCTGAGAAAGAATGATGTCAAGTAATCTTCATCCTTACCATTTATTTTTAAAGCAAATTATTTCATCCACTTGTTCACAATGACATTGAAAAAAAATCTTGATTGGAATTGATACAGAAAATAATACATGGCCTCTTTTCTTTTAAGAAGAAATCTCATTTTCAACAAAATGGACAAAATACAAAAATAATAGGCAAAACAGCCAAACATTACTTTAACTTTTTTTAAAAGATAACTTTATTCAATATTTTGTGTTGTAAATTTAGTAAGTTAGCTAAAAACAGCTCCTGTCATGTTTTTATAAATGATAACATATTTATTTAGGGGACTGTGCCTGAAGTAAAAAAAACCAGAGTAACATGTTCTGTTAAGGCTTGAAAAAAAAATACACGACATTTAAACAGACTAGATTCTTCTCCAGCAAGACAACACAATAATAAAAAACAGATAAATTTATATAAAAAAAAATAAACCCTTTGTTTTTAAAGATGACACTAATGTAAATGTAGCTCAAAATTCTCAATGTAGAACAGGAGTCAGTCTATGAATAGCATGAACAAAGGTGCCTCACAATTGAATTGTCAAATAACATTCACAATTTTTTTTTTTACAAGACATGATATTAGTACCTTTGTTTCCACCGGCCCTGGAGAAATGGCATTAAATCTCATACCATATCTCGCCCATTCAGCAGCAAGCGACCTTGTCAGAGCTTCTACGCCTGCCTTTGCACATGCACTGTGCACAACAAAACCTGATCCAGAATCTGCATAGTCAGCTGAGACTGCCAAAAATACAGCCCCTGTTTGGGGCGATAGAATACGAGTTGTTGAGTTAATCATTCTATGATGTGGAAAAAGAATTGATTTAAAAGTTGATTTTTTTTTTGGGATGATTTAAAAGTTGAAATGTGTAAATTATTAGATATAACAGCATTTATTAAAATGGTGAATATAATAAGAACAGTAGAGCATTTTGTAAGAAGTTTAAATTCATGAGAGTATTTCTTAAATTTATCGTAGCTTTTTCTTGTAGTGTACAGAGTAAAAGTTGAGTATGCAAGAATTTAAAAAATGAAAGTAATAGATAATAATAGAATGCAGCACAATAAAGAAAGCATTCAAATAATTTGGTCACGAACTTTTATGGAACCAATCTATGGTATGTATTGAGTTGTTCCCCTTTGGCCTCTGAATTTACAATCTAAAAATTTCTAGTAGGTAAGGCTGAATGAGTTAATTTTAAAAAGGATCTTTCTCTTTTTTTTTTTCGGCATCCGTCCATCACAATATGACAATGGTGTAGACTTGGCGGGATGAAATCACAAGGCCTGGGATTATTTCTTTAGGAGTTTAAGATGGTTCCCTAGACAGCAACTCTCTCCACGCACCTGGATAACCTAGGAAACCATAAATGGATGATACAGCTTTGCACCAGAAGCGTTGCAGGGGTTTTTGGAATCTTTCATTGCATAAATGTATCCTACTACGGGACTCCCTCTCCAAGTTTTGATTCAGAGCTTCCTTCTCCTAGATGAGTTGCCATCCAAGGTTAATGGGTCCCATCGACCAGGGGCGTTGGTGATGTTTTTGCTTGACTTGGCTTTTGGTGGGGGTTTGAACTCCAGGCCACAAGACTGATTTGATGGCCGCTGGATCACTGATATCATAAAAAGAATCTTACCTTGTTAAGATTGTTAGTTCAACACTATATTTTAGTTAGCAAAATATCTACATCATTTTAATATGATAACCGATCTGTTTACCCCCAAACTGTTAAAATCATACAACATCATCAAAAATCATTCAATACATTATCTTAATAGTAAAAAAATACTAATACATTAAATATAATGTATACACCTCAAAATCGTACATTGTACACCAAAACCGTAAGAGAAAACAGGTCTGTAATAAGTAAACAGTTCATTGCCAGATTACCTTTCTTTGCCTTGATTAACCTTTTCCCAACATCCAGTGTTATATAAGCAGTGCCATTCAAAAATAATAATACATTAAATATAATGTATACACCTCAAAATCGTACACTGTACACCAAAATCATAAGAGTAAACCAGTCTGTTATAAGTAAACAGTTCATTGCCAGATTACCTTTTTTTGCCTTGATTAACCTTTTCCCAACATCCAGGGTTATATAAGCAGTGCCATTCAAAACAATGTTGATGACCGTTGTGAAGGCATTCGCTGAAAGCCGCTCTGTTGGTGTAATAAAATTGCCAGCGGCATTATTGACAACGATGTCGGGAAGTCCATGGCTGGATTCGATGGCATCAAAGACTGATTTGATGGCTGCTGGATCCCTGACATCTAAACGATAGTCTGCAACCTAGATGTGGAAATTCTTATCATAAATTTAATAGAAATTTCTTAACTAAAAATATACTGTAGTTAGAGAAGGTTATCAAATAATAAACATTTTAAATGATAAAAAATTAAAAAAAATAAAAAACCAGTTCCAGTAAAGCATCAAATCTTTGATTTAACAGGAAAGCATATGTCTTTGACCTAAGTGTTTAGCAGATGGTGTAATTGTTCTTGTGAACAGATATTTGTCTCAAACACCCAAATGAACTCATCATTTCTTATAAGGGTACTAACTTCATTCCCCGTGGAATTAGAAATCTCCTCAGCTGTCTTTTTCAGCTTATCTGCACTTCTGTAAATTTATATGTCATAACTGATTAGGATGTTCTATGTAATGAATATTATTTGAACAAAAAAATGATCAACATTCATTTAAAATCATAAATAAATATCATAATAAACTTGACATGGAAAATTTATGTGTGGTTTGTTGTGATAGTAGGTCTACTATAGCGCCATGCATAAATGACATCACAGATTAAGAAAAAAAGGGGGGGGTGGGCATATAATTGTGATCATGTGTCATAAGTGTGTATAATATTTATGACAAATGTGTGACTATAGGGTAAGATAAAAAATTTTCCAAAATAGTGCGATGCATGAATTCCTAAATCGACCATTAATGTACCGAGTCTGATGCTTTAAAAAAAAAATCTGTCCTACTATATCTCATGCATGCCAACCTGTGAGATCAAAAAACTGTACAAACAGTCCCAAAATGCTGTACACCAGCATAAAAAACTGTACAAACAGTCCCAAAATACTGTACACCAGCATACAAAACTGTACAGAAAAAAGGAAAAGTAGAACTAAAGTATAAGTTATAACTTTTTCATCATCTTTATCTACGTTTTGAATATATGAATAAAATAAAGAAAAACACCCCTTCACTGTGTGCACATTTAAGCATGTTTACATCATTCATAAAAGGATATACTGCATCTTTTAAATGAAAATAGCTTGTTTTAGCTTTGATATTTTTATCAAATTTTGAATTTTTTTTTGAACTGGTCAATAGTTAATTCATTAAAAATGTAAAAGATGATGAAATTGATATCAGTTTAGATGCAATTAGATACAATATAATTCTTCAGTGAAATATGCCAGCTGTAGTAATACAGATTCATGAATTTAAATTGATGAAGTAAAATAAACCTAATTTGTCCAGACAAAGTTATTTAGTTTGGCTTCAACTTATGACCTCATTTTTAACTCTACCAGAGGGATTCAGCCATGCCATTGTAATATATATGAATAATGACTAATGAGTCTAATGCTAGTCATTGATTATTAGTAATATTACATATTATATTACTTAATATGAAATAAAAGAACACTTGCTTACACTGCAGCTCTTGTTAAGAAATACACAAACAGTTTTGTTATTATGGTTTACTACTCAAACTAGTTAATATTACCATACTTGGGTGACTTAGTATTAATGACTGATATCATTTTGAACATACCAATAATATTTTAAGTTTCTTGTTGCCCAAAGTTTATTCCTTGCAACACTTGTTTTGAATGTGTGTCTTGTGCAAAAATTGTATGTCCAAAATGCAGTGAAAAACTGTACAAAAGCCTGTATGTTCATTGTTATGGCATGTTTGTAGACCTAATTTTAGCATTGTGGCCACCACCACTTGTCTCCCTTTTGTTTCGTTTAATATTGATCTCACAGAGTAAATGTGTTGTGCCACTCCTTTTTACCCACCCTTTGCTTCATTGGGAAAAGGTTGTTTACATTATATTTGTTCTAAAGAATGCTATCTGGTGAAGAAATTTCTAGAATTTCTCCTTTAGAGAGTTATGATTTAATCCTTATATATAGGCCAGCAGCTTTCCTAGCCCACAGATTTTTGCTAATTTTCCTAGACATTTATGACACATTATGTTAAAGCAAAATTGTACTCTTTATGTGTGTGTGTAAATTAATTCATGGATTATACCTTTCACTTGCTGTGCTGTAGGTTGATATAGTTTTTTTTGTTTCTAAATTTTTAATTTTTATTTTTATAGAAATTTAATAGTGTAATTGAATTGAATATTGTTAGTATCACTAGCTTTGATATTGTTTTTCATCGTTTACTAGTTTTCAGTCCTTGATTACATATTGTTCATTATACAAGCCAAATCTTAAATTGGATTAAGACCATATAATGGTACATAACAGCCTTACATCGTGATAAATGTATAAAAACGGTACAAAGCTTTGGTAAACCGTACAGGTTGGCATGTATGATGTCTATAAGGTGCAAATAAAAAAATTGCCTATACTAAATTCAATTAGCTTAATATAGTTTCAAATTTTCAGCATTCATGTTCTTAACTATACTAAATCTTATATTTAAAAAGCATAATTTCATTTTTAGATTCTTATCATCTTTAGACTGTAGCAATCTAACAAGTGAAATCAGAGGCATAAAGTTAAATATTTTATAAACTAATACTAGTTAAAATAAATGAATAAAAAAATAAGACTTCAGCTGCTCTGATTAAGGATGGAGTTTAACTGTAAGACTTAAAAATATTAATACAACTGAAGGTGGGTGATTGTTTTAACTACCTGCTGGCAATGATAACTTTGGCTCCCAGCTGTGATAAATTCAAAGCTAGACCTTTTCCAAGTCCTGTTGCACCACCTGTGATAAATGCTAACTTTCCTTTAAACGTTTCAGGGGGCAGCATAGGAGTGGTTTTAGCTGGGAAATATTTGGCATGATCTGTTACTTTTGCTAAATACGTTTTATCTGCTTTGAATCCTCTTTGGCTCGCATTGGCAGGACATACTGATTTTGATAGCTGTGGAGTAAATAAAAAACAAAACATACCGATATGAATAATTATATTAAGGGGCGGTCCATATTGACATGACATCACACAAATTTTGTTTATTTTTGACCCCCCCATTCCCCATTGTCACAAATCATCACAAAAAGTTAGACTCCTCTCAAATATAATGTCACAAACCTTTAAGTGCCCCCAGCATCCAAAAAATATTTAAAAAGTGATGTTTCAGTTCACCTAATGTTTCAAATCACTTTCATTCAATCATGGTCATCATTGTAGATTTTAAAATTAATAACTGGGCAGTTTACAGATTTTTTTTTTGTACATTAAATTATGTTTCTGTTTCCTATTTAATATCAATAGCCCCTAAGCGTGTAGTTCAGAAGAAAAATTTACACTGTCCCCTATCCTCTTAACCTTTTTGTTTACAAAATCTAAAAGAATTCCTATCCCATAAATAGGCCATTCGAATTACAGCATTTGTGTCAGAAACATTTTTCCCTAGAACAGAGTTTTCCAAATTGCGTGCCAGCGCTTTCTGTGGAACAGAAGCTTTCTCTTAGGGTGCAGCAAATTTGAAAAAGATATAAAAAATTGGTAAATTTCACTAAGTACTTGTTAGAATTTGACATGAGACACCATGGGGAACCTCTGCCCTAGAACATTTCAGAGAGAGTTTCTTTTTCAGTCAGCTATTTTTTATTCTGACTTTTGTGGGGCTTTCCCTACTCCCCCCCCCCCTTTTTCCCCTCCTATGTTTGGCCCTAATTTATCCAGGCTGGCAATTGTCACAGCCCCTCTGACCATTTTCCTCTCCATCTAGTAACTTGATCATCAGATGGATGAGAGACAGCAGGATGTCATTCGCATACCTATGTCACAGGCTGTGATTCACATTGTGAAGGCCTACCACCAGCTCTCCACAGTACTGAATCTCTCAGTAATAAAGGATGGTGTAAATATTGAATAAAATAGAATCAAACATCCACAAACCAAACAAAGAATGAGAATTTCATAATTATAATAAATTATGATAAAAATTACTTTAATTCAGAATTCAGTTCAAGTGGTTAAAATTATTAAAATCAAGATTAAGACGTAACTTAACTCTTAAGACACTTAAGTGTGAAAGAAACAGCCTATAAAGCCTTTGTCCACCAGCTTTTAGATTATGCATCTTCAGTCTGGGACCCGTTTACCCAGAAGAGCATCGACAGGTTGGAGGCGGTCCAGCGATGGGCAGCACGCTTTGTCCTGAACCGCTACAGTAATACCTCTAGTGTTGGCAGCATGCTGGAAACACTAGGCCACCATTGCAGACCTGTTTACCCTCAAACTCTTAAAATCGTACAACATCATCACAAAAGCATTCAATACATTATCTTGATAGTTAAAAAATAAACATACAGTGAATAAAATGTATGCACCTCAAAATCATACATTGTACGCCAAAATCATTAGAGTAAACTTCAGTAAACAGGTCTGCCATTAGAGGAACGACAACGACTATCCAGGCTCTCCATGATGTACAAGATAAATAATGGACTAGTCTACTGCTCCAGCATTAAATAGAAACTCGTCCCTCTCCCCCATAGACAGCGACGAAGCCATGACAGGCAATTCTGGCTCATACCAGCCAGAAGCCAGTATAGGAGCTGCTCATTCCTGCCAAAAGCAATCACGGACTGGAACAAGCTTTCAAAAGGAACAGTTGAGGCGACAACACTTGACACATTTGCGTCTATTTACTATTGCCTCAGGCCTTCCAATCCCCAGTGCATGATGCCCTCACAAAGTAGTCCTTGCAACCAGTGAAATATCCTCATCAACACCAGGCACAGAAACATTGCAATCCCCTCTACATGTATAGAATCCAAAATGATCACTAAATTTATCTTGGGCCTGGGCCCTTAATACATAGAAGAAGAAGAGTAACTAAGATTTACTTTTTGGTGATGTCATAATGCATGGTAGATAATGCTTAGCTCCCACCCTCTCCCTCCAAATCATAACAAATAGGTGACCACACCTCCCCCAGGTGCGTAACGTCATTTATTGATGGCCCCAAATATGATATTAATTATAAGTTAAATTTTAAAATACGTCCTTTTTTTTTGTTTGGGGGGTCCAAAGTTCGCACCCGTCCGTAGACTTGCACTGTAGATTATGACATAGTTTCTAAAAGCATGTTTGCATATCATATTAAATATTAAGCATGTGTCATTATCATCAACGATAGATAAAAAGAGTATTAATGTATTTTGCTTAAAGGTGATACAATACATTCAAATAAAATATTGTTACCTGTCTTTGCAATAAGTTTCGAAAGGCTGATGTATAACTTGCGGCCATTCTGATTACTTAAACTTAGTGATAGACTGGTGATGGTTCAATGTTTATTTTAAGATAATAAATTCTAGAGCCTTAAATTTATATAAAAAACGTTATTTCATAAATAATTTTATATTTATTTGTTAAAATAATAATATCAAAACTTAAATTAATGAAACAATTTTAAAAAAATTAAATTTGATGCTTAGACTAAAGTTTAAAACAATGAGGTCCCTCCGGAAATTTCCTACTTTCGATTTTGTTGACCTCACGGAAGAGATTATAAAAAGCTAAAAGATTTAATCTTAATCTACTGTTTTCAACTACTATACTGTTACTGTTGGTTAGCTGAAATTACCTTATATTATTCTTACTATAAATATAAAGACATGCAACGAATCATCCGTACAATCATAAATCAGGTATTTTAAAAAAGTAATTAACTATTGACTCATAATATTCACATAATTTTTATTATTTTACTTTAAAATTAAAATGCAATTTTATTTATATTAAAATTTTAGAATGTCAAAAAAACTTAAAAAGTATACTAAAATATCATTTACTATGATTATTCTTTAGCCTTTAACAATTTAGTAGCGTCAGTTGAATTATTTTTTATTTAATTATTGACTTATTTTATTGGTCCTACCATCGTCATTAATGAGTAATATAAGTATAAGACCATGCTATATAAGACCACTTATTATTATTATTATTATTATTAATACTGGTACAGTAAAATACATTCTTAAAATACAATCTTCTAAACAAAATTTAGACAACTTCACATTACACCATCACAAAACTTTGTCCCCCTCTCCCCACACTAGATGTGTGATGTATTTACTTTTACAGATGGCCCCCTACTTCAAATAATATTAATATTAAGGCATAAAAATGTATTTTTAGTTATTTTATACATAATACATATCATACTTCGGACTATTGTGGCTCTAGGCCAACATTTACTCAGTATTACTCAAAATTATTGTCTACACTATAGAAGGGCTGGTCAAAGTAATTGTAATATAATTCGATAATACATAATGCATTGGATTTAAAAAGTGTATAACAATAAGGAGAGTGAAATTTTTATCAACTTATTGAATCATTTATTCCTTTTTTGCTTTATAAAAACATTAGATTCAATCTTTGACGGCTGTTAAATTGAGACCACCAGCTATATATGCACAATGGCTCTTCAAATATGGAACAGAAACTGGTGAAAAGCCTGGTTTCGAAGGCAACCTTACTGCAGGAGAGAAAAATATTAAAGACAAACTTCAAAAAGCATTTCCAGATGCCACAGAAATTCAAGTTGCTGATGTTTCAGGTAGTCATCTTGAGCCGTTTAAATTCTTGAAATAAAGATTATTTTTTTCCATTCTCATTCAAATATATTAACTAAGTATTGAAAGAAGTTATTTTACTCTTGTCATCATTCAACTTATGATAAATCACAAACTGAATCCCAAGAATGGTATTCAATTTTGGACAGTAAGAATAATAAGATTGAATTCCATAATAAATTAATATTAAAAATATATTTTCACTTTAGAGATAATATTTTTGACAATTTCTGTCTGATTAACTACTCATAGTCATAGTCTATCATAAAAAAACAAAAACATCTTCATTGTTTTCCTTCATACCATGACTCAGACAGAAAATTTAATTTGACTGTTCTTTTTTTGGCTTTAGGTGGTTGTGGTGCTATGTACCAGATCAATATAGAATCTCTTAAATTTAAAGGCATTCGAACCATTCAGCAGCATCGACTAGTAAACGAGGTGAGTGTTATTAAAGAACACAATGTGAATAACTTAACTGAGTGATTAATTGACTATTTTGGAAATAGTATTATATCAGCACATTTATAAAAATCACAAAATTGTGAAAGATAACGCAAAATAATGTGGAAAATGTGTATTTTTAAAGTATTTTTAAAATTAAATACATGAATTAGGGTTGAGCCAAGAATAATAACTTTACGTCACCTTGTATAACTAACGATAGCCATTTTTCATATTATGAAATCTGCTGAGTAGTTAATGCAGACTGCCTGGTTTGGTAATAAGCTACATGGTTATTTTAGCTTTCCAAAACAACCTGCCATTGCCTATAGAGTGACAGGAGAAAGTGAATAAACCAAAAACAAGGAATCAATGAATATTTGTCATAACCCTAAGCCTAAAACATGTTGTATGCTTCATATGATGACACTCTGCAGTCCAGAAAGACAGCTCCCATCTTGAAGATAACTTAAAGACCCACTGCATGTTAAGTTAAAATAGGCATGGATCAACCAGGCTTAAAACATAAGCCATGCGACCCGTGTGATCAATTATGTATTGAGTGGCAGAGACAGCAGACTAGCAAGTTGTTGATGATGATGTTTTTTTACAAGCCACACCAGGTGGGACCAATGCAGCTGACCTGTTTACTCTTACGATTTTGGCGTACGATGTATATATTATATTATATATATATATATTGTATATATTGTATGTTTATTTTTTACTATTAAGATAATGTATTGAATGATATTGTACGATTTTAAGAGTTTGCGGGTAAACAGATCTGACGCAGCAGTGATGGAGAAAAAGAGGGTGAAGCAGACAATGACAAACATTTTCTTGTTAATTTTTTTGTTTATTCTGTTGTATTTTACTGTCACAATCACAATGTCTTGTACATAGTAACATAGGCGAAGTGGTCCAAATAGTGACAAATATTTTATTATACACTATCACAATGTGAAATACATCTCATGGAAATCCGAACATACTTGGAACTAATATTATATTAATCTCAATGCTTCAATTACTAGCTTCTGGATAATCTTCTTTACTTCTTAAACTTAAAAATGTATCAACACACTATAAACTGTTCAATCTTCTTACATAAACTTTGTGAATTCAAAAAACCATTTTACTCAACTTCCATCTTGTCTTCCTCTCTTTTCTTGATTGGCCAGTTTTTCTCAAGTCCCAATACTCTGTATATTCTATAAGTAGTATCTTCCATATTATATTTGTGACATTTACATATTAACAAAAATGTAACTGTACATCACTACATTTTTTATTTGTAGGCTCTAGCTGAAGAAATCAAATCTATGCATGGATTTAAGTTGTCAACAAAAACACCGGACACCGATAAGGAATGAGTTGTTTAGATTCTGACAAGTGTTCCAAGTATTGTTTATTCTGTTTTACACGCAGGTTGTGTCTGAATAAAATCATATGGATATTAAATCACTAGCTGCAATGGCTTTGTAGATGTTAGCTTAGATATGTATGAAATTTTAGAAGCTATGCACTGTGTTAGCTGACTTGTAAATAATTCTATTTTAATTTAAATGACTCTATATTATAAATTTATGAAGAATTATTTATAAGCAGAATTAACATACATATTTTTTTATGAAAACGAACCATAAAAAAGTTTTTGTGTACAGCTTTTCAAACTACAAGTATGATTTATATTTTCATGAGCTACTGACATTTTCTTTTATCAAGGGAGTTAATATAAATTCAATTTCACCCCCAAGCTAAAACATGTATTATCGCCCTTCTTGCTGGACCACGACTTTCCAGTTAGAGTCATAAGGGCTCATTGAATGCTAAGATAGCACTTCAACAAAAAAAATATATAAAACATTTTGAAATTATGGAATTTTTTTCCATTTTTAGTTGCACAAAAGTCTGTCCAGCTTGACACATAGACTTTAATTTTGATCTAAAACCATAGGTAAGTTTAAATTTGATATTAACCTGACTAAGTGAAGGGATATGACATTCATCTGAGCTGAATCAATCAGGGCCATGATTGGGGGGGAGAAGGAGGACCTTCGGTGAAAAAAACTGTCTAGAGCTGCAAATTTTGAGGACAGCAAATTGCATTTATTCAAGAGCCGTGAAAGAGTTAGTGTTTTTTCGGGCCTTGAGCTAATTTTTAAAAAAAGGCAATTAAAAAATAAAATCAAACTAGTTTTTATGCCAAAAACAATGGTGAGTGCCTGCAGTAACCATTCAATAACCATCAGCAAAAAATGTTCATGATTGAGAGTTTATATAATGTATGTTCAAGGTGTCCATGTTCAATCTTATATGATGATGAAAGTTATTTTTTTGTGTTTGAAAGTTTTTGAGTTTTTAGTATAAAATGTCATTTGATGAGTCAATGTTTTAAAAAAAAAAAAAAAAGGAAAAGAGTGTTTTCGAAATCAAGTGGATTGAATGTTAAACAAGGATCTCAAAGCTCCTAAAAGCCGGTTTAAGTGGTTACAATCATCTCTTGATGATGCTAAAAATCATTAAAATTGTTTAGATATTATCTATATAGTTATATTTAATGTCTCTAAATCTATGCCTTTTCATGCCTAGAGGTTGGGTACATACTAACCCATTCCTAGATATGCTTCACGTTAAATAAGATATTTTAATGCTATACAATATTGCTTCACATAATTAATGTGGTGACCAGATCTTCACTGCATTATGTTTTGTGTCAGTTAATATTTACATTTCTTTGTTTGAAAATAAAATTAATTGAAAAGAAGAGAGAAACTTTCTATAAGAAAGTTGAATTCATATTGGTTGCCTTAAAACCTGTGGTGATCATGGTTGTTCATTGCAGTATTGAGTGTGTAATTTATGTCAGAGCACTACATATAGCTATCAAGTTCATAAATTTCATCAGAGCTCTTTATCTATAAATTTCATAAATTATGTCAGAGCACTATGTTTACCAATCAATTCAATCTGATAAATTTTGTCAGAGCACTATGTTTACCAATCAATTCAATCTGATAAATTTTGTCAGAGCACTGTATCTTTCAATCTAATAAATTTTGTCAAGCACTATATCTATCTATCTGAAAAATTTTGTCAGAGCACTATATCTTTCAATCTAATAAATTTTGTCAGAGCACTAGATCTATCAATCTGATACATTTTTTCAGAGCACAAGATCTATCAATCTGATACATTTTTGTCAGAGCACTAGATCTATCAATCAGATCTTTAGTTTGTAAACAGTGGTGAAAAGGTTTGGTGTTCGACAAAGACAGAAAATAGAACATTTGAATGTTGGGTCCAAAAAGTTACCTTTCAGATATCTTTAAATTTAAAAAGTTTAGACCATATTGGAGAGCCTGTAATTTCTAAAAGATAATTAAATCTGGAACTTAACTATTTGTTACCGGTAGTTGAAGACTCACAAAGTCATTTTTAAACTAAGTCAGCCAAGAAACTTTACTGAGTAATGCGCCCCATACTTTTATAAAATATTAGTGCCCCCCCCCCTAATTATTTCAGTAAACATAGAAATATTGAATTTTTACGCCCTTCAAGCGGGAACGTTCCCGGCGTGCCGCCGCGCGATCTGGCGGCGGGGAAACCCGGCGTCTGGCCCGTGTGGAGGTGTGCTGGGGAGGGGGGTATAAGAAGACCCACCGACGCCATTTCCCAATGTGACGCCCTTCTTAAAGTTCTAACACACCCTACCCAAACCCACATGCACACGCCCAGCCTGGCGCCCGCCCCATTCTGAAACCGGGTCTTCAAAATAGGAATTTTATAGAACGCAGGACTTTTTCAAATATCAAATATTCATCCCAATAAATTTCTCAGCCAAATACCTCTAACCCTACAGGACACCGGCAACACACAAACTTTTGCCCCAACTGCGTATCCTCTGGGTCTGCCGCTGCAGACGCCCCACACACAAACACAGGTGCTCGTAATGGCGCTGTCAGCAATATCATCAGAGGGGCAAGGGACATAACTCAGAACGTGCCAAATGCAAGGGGAGATCATCCACGCTATCTGTTTTTTTTTCCCCCTGACAACTCCGCACCGGCGACTCACCCCCCTGTTCATACCCCAACACTAACCTTGTAACCGCTGTGATGGAGACAGTATCTTTCATCTGATATTTGTCAGCACACGTTGCTCTTTCTCAAAGTTGGCCTGTGTGATGGTCTATCTCAGCAGCATGTGCCACTGAATCACATCCTGTTGAAATGTCCCTCAGTGTCATATCTCTCGCCTTTGCCATCAAGAGTAAAGGTTTGAGTAGACTAGATGGCTCAAAAAAAAAATAAATAAATAAATAAAGATGGAGATGAATCATAAATATTATCAGGCATCAAAACAGAAAAAAAAACATATGATTATGATTAAATTTATGTGGACTGATGTACGCATAGGCCAGGAAGAAAAATTGACAGCAGTGGCTGGGAGCACCCATGCCATTTTCGTCACTTTACCCCAGGGGCGTGGGAAAGGAGGTTCTTTACAGTGAGAGGTGTCAATTGCAGAAAAAATGTTTGCCCTCTCCGGGGGACGGCTTTTAAACTAGCGACGCCACTGAGTTTAGAGGAAAACAGGTTCAGTCCGGTTTTAAGCAGGTTTTAATTTTGTCGGACCGGTGGATACGTATCTCATGGACCCGTGCAAAAGTTACTATAATTTTTTGTTACATTTTTCTTTCACTAAACATGTAAAATATTCTCTTTCGACCACGATCATCCAATGTGAGAAGACTTTATTAATTTTTTGAATGCTTTATATCTGGCCGGCACAGTATGCGGCCCGCCAACACCCACTTTGCGGCCCGTAAAATAACATTAATAATATTAAATAAATAATATTATATTTTTTCTTAATAGCTCCCCCCCCCTCGTCCTATTATCTTTCGGCGCGCACAGGTTTCTCTTAAAGTATTACGGCCCGCCTTACATTTTGAGTTGTGCAGGCCTGCTTTATATTAACTTTGCCTTTCTTCGTGGCTAGCTTGTTAATAATATTAAATAAATAATTTTATAGTTTTTCTTAATAGCTCCCCCCCCCCCGTCCTATTATCTTTCGGCGCGCACAGGTTTCTCTTAAAGTATTACGGCCCGCCTTACATTTTGAGTTGTGCAGGCCTGCTTTATATTAACTTTGCCTTTCTTCGTGGCTAGCTTGTTGGGTGGCGGACTGGCAAACATCTTCTTATAGCTAACTGTACATTTCCCGTCAACTTATCGAGCTGAAAATTGGCACACAGACGCGTTGCCGATGATAACTCGTCGCATCAAAATTTCAGCCCCAACAATCGCTGGAAATTACATTTTATAAAGGATTATTACTAAAAACTTTTGTTTTAGGGCTTGTTTAATTTTAAAAACCTTATTGTAGTAACAGGATGTTGTGTATCATAAGTGGTGAGATGTCGGTACTTTTGAAGGATTTGTAAAAGTTTTTGATAGCTCTGTTCCTGAGATTGTGTATGGTGGAAGAAATTCATTTCGTGCCATGGAAAATGCCTGGATCCGGAGATCCACGTTCGTGGGTTATTTTTTTTTTTTTTTTTTTTTTTGTTTTGTTTTATAAATTTTTTTTTTTTTTTTTTTTTTTTTTTTTTTTTTTTTTCGCTGCTGCTAGATCGGTCATGAACGTTTAAATTAAGTTTTTATTGGTGCACAACAGTGAACGCCCGTCCTGTGCACGGTGCGTAAGGCAGCCTTGCTCATTACATGAGAACATTGTGTTGACAACAATGAACGTCCGTCCTGTGCACGGTGCGTAAGGCAGCTTTGCTCATTACATGAGAACATTGTGTTGATTGTCAATTTACTATGACGTCTGAACGTAGTGAAAAGTATCATTATTGAATAACAATTCAATAGGTGGGCAAACTTTTGCCAAAATAGTCACAGTTGGCGCGAATGAAAGTAAAATTCTTCATACTATTAAATACAAATTAAATGAAGAATTCATCCTATTTTAAACGCGGAAGGCGCCGCTCTCTGCTAATTATCTTTTCATTCTAGCTGTTAAATTGTATATAAAAAAAAAATGGTTAAACTCTATTCAACTTTCAAACCGTTTCTTGTCTCATGTAGTGCAGACCAGCAACGTAAGGCTCGCGGACCGGCGCAGATCTGTGGGCCAACCTTTTGGAAAACACCGTTCTACACTCCATGCGGTATTCAATATTTAAAGTCATGGCACCTTTACAGGTATATTTCAGCAGCTTAAGGAATAGAAATCCATGCCGCTAGGACCTCGACAATGTATGGAGTACCTCGAATCATTACTCGGAGTTGGAGCAGGTAACATCGTTCCAGTTACAGTGTAGTACGGATTTTACCTATTAAAACATGCATAGTCAAGCACTTAATGTAGGGCTGTTGCAAGCAAGAAAGCTGCGCACGAGCCAAAGACTTGATTTAGGCACCCTATTCCCAAAAGGTATATATCAATACACATTTTTCATGAAAAATACGACTTTTTTGGCGCCCTTTGAAGATGGCGTCAGTTCAGTGTCGGATCAACCTTAAAGCTATAGAGGTACGTGCTTAGGCGCTCCGCAGGAAAATATCCATTTTTAAAAAAAAATTGATTCGATCTTGCAAGAAGTCTGAATATCTATAAAACAAAATAAATAAGTTAGAAGGGGAGAAGAGAGTAAATTAAGGGAAATAACACACGGAAACATTTTTTCCTCGTATGGTTATCATCAAAGAGCGTCTCTTCAGCGACTGCCGTTGTGTGATGACAAGAGAGCTGAGAGAAACAAAGATGTTCGCGTTACATGATTGAAGCTTAATAACAAATGCGTTTATAATGAAGATAGATTGAGACATAACACTCAAATGTAAAGCGAGACATTCGCTAGTGGATATTTGGAATGCACTGACATTACGGGTAACAGGTATTATGGGAAGAAAAACCCATTAAATCAGGGATCACATTGAGAAACAACGTGACTATAGTTATAACAAGTAGACTTAGAATTAAGTTTTTCAGTACTAATTTAACATCTTTCAAACAAATTTTGAAGGCCCCCCACCCTGGGGGCGGGGCCGGGGAGGGGGCACTTTTCGGTTAATTCCCTCTGTATCCAAAGATAAAAGCTCATATATTTCATATATTTCCGTATCACAACTTTGGGCCCCTTAACTATCCAAGGCTACCTCTAGCCGCAGTGATTGCAGGGCCAATGCGTCGATGGGCATGGAACTAAAATCAAGTCGTAAACCTTGCCTAAGACCAGCGGTTCTCAACATTGTGGTTCACGACCCCTTTGGGGGGTCCAACGACACTAACACAGGGGTCGCCTAAGACCTTCTGAAAACACATATTTATGAAGTAGCAACGAAAATAATTTGATGATTGGGGTCACCGCAACGTGAGATCTAATGGGTGGCAACCCTTAGGTGATAGCCTCAGGAGGTCACACGAATCGTAAATTTACCTACCGTGTGGAGTGGAATGGAATGGGAGGACTGTGGGGTGGGGGGTGGGCATTTTGGGTCAAAAGTAACAAATAATAAAGGGAATAAATGAGACAAGGAGCATACGTTCATGATGAAAACTAAATTAAGATTTGCGAAAAAAAAAATACATCCTTGCATTTTGAATTATCATTAGATTTACTGGCGAGGGGCTACCCTTACTCGCTCCACTCCACCCCCCCACCCGCACCAATTTCGATAAATTTTCAGCCTCCCCCCCAGTCTTGACTTGACCATCATATTAACTAAACAACAAAAAAAGTGTTACTTGAACTCAACGTATCGGAAACAGATGTGGAGCAGGAATGGCGGCGGAAGGGGACGGTCCACCTGGGCGGCAATTTTTTAAAGTTTGTTTTAAGGGGCGGAATTTTCGGACAACTGCTGAGAATTGAGGTGGCAAAAAGCTTGACCCCATCCAGGCTACGCCACTGCTGATATGAAATTTATAACTCATTTATTCGATTTGGCAAGTGGGGTGGGGTGGGGCAGCATTTCGACATCTCTGGGGCCCTCGGAGATCTTAATCCGGTAATGTACCAAGAGCTGGTGCCCCCTTAACACTAATTCCCCC